CAAACAAATATAATCTACAAATTAATATGACATTAAATGTATTAAAGTGTGTGCTTTCGTTTATTAAAGGTAGTGTATCTACTCACTTTTAATGATAAACGTCTCGATATTAATATCGCACTTATCGTTACTTTAAAACGGTTATTATATACCTTGATATCTGATGTTATAATAACTATATTGGATTGAGATTGAGCATAATTAATAATCTAATAATCGTCTGTCAATAAGTGTTCATAGACCACATATTGGTTTTCTTGGCTCTTCAAGCTACTAACACGAGAAGCCAAAATATTTGCACTACCCAAACCCGATTAGTGCTAATATTATCCAAGCATTTTATCTGCTAAATGAACAGTGGCTTTGTTTAATTATAAGCAATAAATGGGGCCGACTTTATTGCAACCCCAGGCCTTTACGAGTAACAACCAACATATTGCGTTTTATCCTTAAGATCTGAAAGGTGCATTAATATTTGATGGTAAGGACTCGTTTGAAGCGGCTGTGCGTATCGCGTTAGTTGGAAGTTGAGTGGGTACTGCATATCTCATGACCCCTGCCAGACTAAGAATCGATAGGTCAAAAAACACAAACTCAGCTTGTTACACGTAAGTGTAAACTAGGCGTGTATAATTCATACTGGTGTAATTAAACCCCATGTCACTGAGGAGAGATATGGATAATCGTAATTAGGGCGGGACGACGTTTTCCCACTTGGATAACTTGTCTTTGTCTGGTAGGAGTTCCACATGCGGTTACATTGCTGCCAGACTGGTGTGACAAACACGTTTATATACAACAACAGGTACGGATAAACGTGAGTACGTCATGTAATTGTGTCTTTTGTCGGTTTGTTAGCACGTAATTTCTATGTGTACATGCTACATAGGTAAGACAAACATCAATTTCCGGCTTACAGTGATAATTTTAGGAACCCAAACTGTTATTTACATGGACTCAATACACCGCATGTTTTAATCATTGGTCCACGCTTAGCTGCACATATCGACAAAACAGTAGAACTGTTGCTATGCTGTTTGGAGTTGAAGGTGATCGGGAAAAAAGTCACAAAAAGATCAAGCGGGAAAACAATATCAGATTAAAACTCTTTAAAACACTGAAATAAAGACTGAAATGGGTATGAAAGACAAGGGATTAAAGACTAATTGGTTTCGAGTAAACGTGATTAACATTTGGGATAATCAGGTCTCCAACAGGTTGGCTTCCATGAAAACAATCGGTGCTAATGAAATTGTTAGTTGTATCATGTACTGTAAGTTTGTGAAACTGGAAATTGACAAATGTTTGTGCTAGTTTTATACTTATTGATTTCTATTGTTATTATTATACTAAACTGAATGAACTAAACAATTTGAAAGTCTTTTGGACGAATTTGGCTTTTTCTTCTTGACTTTTTTCCCCAACTCAAATCTGTAACTTTTTCTCGTGACTTTTTTCCCTGCAATCAGAGTTGAACACACGCACTTGGAATTGATTCATTATTTTGAGAGTTGGAGACTGTCGATGTTTTGCGCCCACTGGGTTCGACTTCGGATAACATCTACACGGTTTGTAAATATCAGGCATCGTTTATTCAAAAGTATCAGTCAGTCCGCGTTACGCTGATGCAAATGTTACCGTGAGTATTAATGGGGATTCGTGATAACTATGGTCAAGTATAAACGGGGGAATATTTGTATCATCGTGATGCTAACTTGGTCAGACAAGACGAGCTATTCATATCAGTTGATGTCTGTTTCTTCCAGTATTTTACTTAAACTGTTCTAAATTAATGACGTGAACATCTATGATAAGAATGTAAATCAGATCTTCATTGTTATTTATGATACTTAACGATTAGTGTGTGTCACGATCTGAATGTTTTCAGTGATTGTTTTAGTTTATACGTCAGTTTCTATGCAAGATTATTTGAAATATTGCCCGCAATCATCACTGTTTTAAGTCTGAAGGTATTCAAAAAGAACGGAAACACTACTGACATAAATAGTTACTTAGGTTTTCTTTCACTATTATTTTCGCGTGTCCTAATACTACAATAAAATATCCTCTTATGGTGTTTATATAGCACATCCACCCACTTCCGTGTGCATGCGTAGTGTTTGTTGCGACGATTGGATCGACCTTTTTTAATCTTCTTTTGGTGGCGCCTTGGGTCTGATAAAATACTGGAAAAATGTAATTTTCCTTCATTTGGGAATGAAAACGTTCTTCTGTTATGTTTGATGAATAAAATAATTCAGAATCCCAGCAGCAAGTCCCTAATTCGGGAATGTAAATTATTTCCAGGTCTTTTAAAGCGTTTGTAGTCTGGACCTGGTTCTTTTATGTCATTAATACCGATAACGTACATGTCAACAGCGAGGATGTACATAACACTTGCCCTTGTTATTAAACGGTTATGTAAACGATTAGGAATCAGCATAGAGAGTCCACCAACACGCAGTATAGTCTGTTAGCTGGCCATACTTGAACAGCCCACACTGCGTCTAGCATCAGGAGAATGATGTCCCATATGATATCTCTACACCAATATTTGTCATAAGATTTGTGCCATGACAATAATAACATGAAGAGGACCCTCCCTTGTAAATAGCTCACGGGCTCTCTAGTTGCCCCGAACGTGGCAAGGGAGGTTTGTAATGTTCCCATCAAGGTAATGTATAGCAAATCCGACTTGAAGAGTTCGCTGAACAAACACAATTCTGTGTCATTTGATTGACAACCGAAGCTGCAATGATTGATGTGAAAGCTACAAGTATTTGCACTGTAACAGTACCACGAACACACACGTAATGGAGCATACAGGATGGTTAATTGAGGGTATTTGCCACCAACGAGCTGGAATGTGATGTAAGGTATTGCAGGTTACTCAACACTCGATGTCCCGAGACGAAGAGGTTGTGTGTTATGTCGGAAGTAGAAACGACACTTGGGAAGGTCAGTCAGTAATCTGACGATAGGCTCACTTGTCTCATGGTCCTGGGACTTGGTAGTCATACTTACCGAATATTCTTCCTGCCCTGGGTGGGATATGCGTCCTGTATATGAGACATATGTCCCAATGTCTTGTAATGTTGTCAAAGGTTTTCGTTCGGAAAATATTTTGAAGTCGCAGGAGAATGTTAATGGCAAGATTTGTTATCAATAAAAATGTCAACGTTCGTTTGCCACATGTTACCATCTGCAATGGCATAACTTGTCATTTGTCTTTTTAAATGTAACACTATTGATCAAACATAAGTTTATAAATTTATAATGATCTGTTTTCATTCAGATTTTTCAAAAGCCTTTTCAGAAACATAAACCAAATTTATGATGGATTGACTTTCACACTGATGTCAATTCATGTACTTGTTCAGGATAATATTACAGTTTATATTGTTTGTGTACTGCGGATTCTTTTGTTCCCTCGACAAGCCTGTCTTTTGATATAATACTCAAATAAAACTGGACTTTTTATGTAAAAATAATTAATCAACGTTTCTTGTCATTTTTTAGTTACGTAACGTCGACATATCACGTTAACTAAATGATATTTTTTTCAAAAAGAAAACTGATCCGAAGTCCTTTCCTTGATTATTACAGGCAGACACTATAGATTTTCTTTCTCATAAATATCCTTATTGATCAAACGGAGAGATTTCACTCATTAAAATCTGCAGTAAGCCTTCATTAGCCACCGCCCATTGGGTTCTATTTGATCAAAAGATTATGAATTTATATGTACGCGACATTTTCCAGAAACGAAATAGAGCACCACAGTTTCTCCTCCCTAGTAATTAACGGACGGAGGAGGGCTGAAACACACGACAAAGATCCTGTAACATTAAACCGTTATGAGTCGTTTACATGTTTTTTTACATTCATTTCGAGTGATTAATTGGACTTTTGTTTTTCTGTTGGCAAATGGGATGTCTCCTAACTAGCGGTGTTTCATCAAACAGAAACAGCCGGAGACCTTCAACAGAGGGGTTTCTTATTTCTAGACATATTTTTCAACCTATTAACATGGTCGGGTATACGTTGTTTTGCCATAATGATGACCCGGGGAGTGTAAGACGAGTGCTTAATGTTTTTGTGTTATTTATCAGTTATTGAAAATATCCTGTTGTTCTTTAGTTTAGCTGAAGTCAGAAATGTGAACTGGCTTTATACGAGTTAAAACTATATTGATTAGTGTTTGGGAATACACAATAATATTCTTCAGGGATATGTGTTTATTTATTAATACTATCATGAAATATTACATTACTTTACTCTGTTGCCAACACCGTGATGACGACATTACGAGCTACAGTTTCAGCCTAGCTTCCTCTAGCTCAGGGTCAGATATATATTATGTTTCAGATAAGGATGAGGAATAACTATGTTTAATAACATTGTGAAGGAAAGAGAGTCACATTACAAACTTTATGGTAGTGAGTGACTCCATCGTGGTCTAGTGGTAGAGCATCCTCCCGGAGAGCGGAAGGTCGGGGGTTCGATACCCGGCCGTCTCATACCCAACGACGTGAAAAGATGGTACTTGTTGTTACCCAGCTTGGCCCTCGGCAAAAAGGGGCTAAAACAAGGACTGGTCGGCTCGGAGTCAGTTTACAGTGTCTGGGTGGGGTATTCATGTTAAACTGCGGCATGATATCTCAGTGGGTTAGCACTATAAAATCGGCATTAACCCGGACTAGTAAAAGCAGCCACACAACAAACACACATACACCCGTGCATGCTCGTCGCAATGTAAGTGCAGTAATCTTGTAATAATAGGCATGACGTCCTAATGTTTAATGTGAAACTTGGTATGAATGGAGATCGGATGGCCAAAATGGTAGAAAAGTTTGAACCGATGCTGACACGGTTAACGGTTGGTTTGTATGTTCCGAGACCAATTATGATATTTGCAGGTTATTGCTTTGTCCTTTTCCTCTTGGATGTAAAACGTTTTTTACTTTACCATTTCTAAATCTTGGCTTTCACTATTTCAGCATGGTACAGGATTTTCGACCAACTTAATGCTTACCTCACGGATCCTACCTTTCTTTGACCTACTAATGGCGGAAGTGTACCTCGACCCTTTGCTCCGGGGATTCTGGGAAGGGTTTCCGTGCCCCCCACCCTGGAACACAGGACTTCTGCACCGAGTCAACTGGACTGGATGTTTGGGGGAGAATGTTGGGGAAAGAGTCAAGCTGTTTATGGTCGACAAATGTCGGATTGAAGTAGAGGACGATGTACCCCCTCTTCTTGACCAGGGAGAACGGCTAGAGACAGAGATCTGTGCCACGCCTTGTAAAGTGATCATTGTGTTGGCCTGTGTGTTGGTCGTCATCGTAGTATTGGGTGGGATTATGTTCTTTCTGCATCGGTGAGTATATACACTCATAGATATCGCATTATAATGTCACATATCTAATATATTGGTAATACCTGCATCATTCCACGATGGCTTGTAAATAATATAGTCCTGGAGAAGCAAACGAGTCAAAGAAATCCAAAGAATGCGTACAATTCTTTGGCAAGTCGAGTTTTTCCCTGGCTCGTTTTGTTATATATTAAAAGTCAATGGAAAATATATTACGTAATATATAATTTCAAGGATAATATGATAATATGTATGGTATTCGCACGAGCGACGATAAACACAATCGAGGCACTACGAACATTCACAGTAGCCATTCTAATTTTAGTTAGAAATCCCCCATGTGATTAATACACTGCACACATATGAGAGACAAACAGAAATATTTCGAAAGCTGGAGTGCTGTTTAAAATTACATTTCCGGTTTTATCTTCAAGGATTCCTCCAAGTATGTGTAGTTTAAAACTGGTAAGAAAATACCCGATTATCTGTAGGCAAGCGTGGATTTGAACTTCTTTTGGAGAATGAAATCATAAAAACTTCTACAATTTACTTCCAGTTGAATAGAGGGTTTCAGTTTCTTTCAGCTTTCAGAAAGGTGTGTCGGTACAGGTGCTAGCACATTTATCAAGCAAGTGATAACTCATCAGTCAAACATTCCTTCATTTATACAACAGCTTCTAAATGCTACTTAAAGATATAGTTACCAACCTACCTTTTTACAAAGTTTTCGAAATAAAGATTACATGATAGTGAACAGGTATTTCAATACTAGACGAGGTGTGAGGTGTGAGTTTTACATACATGAAAATAACATTAGACTAATGAGATACCTGCTCTGATTTATTATGGCATGCAGACGGCAAGATGCTCAACATATGTGACTGCAGCGATGGACCGATTAACAATTATTAACAAGTCAACAGTTATCCCCATTATAATGGATTACTGTTAAGTTAAAATTGTCAAATTTCCTACAAGAAACAACATGGGAAATAACCCTTCTGTCTCGAAAACGTCCGAATTGCTGAAAGTTGAAAAACATACACGACGATCAGTTTTTGGGGCACTTTTGATCAGTTTTCACACTTACTCTCATGTTTCGCACTTACCTACATAGTAAAATGAGACATGTCAACTGCATGACCATCTGACTAATATCGTCTGGTACCTCGTTGCTGTATTCATCTAGACCATTCTTTCACACTTGGGGATGCCATTAAACGAGATTAAGAAATAAGAACCACATGAACCATCACTTCATCACTGAGATAATTTCTCAAAGTATACCTGAGACTATGGTTAGTAAAAGTCAGTTCTGACAAAGGTGAAGTTATTATAAGCTGTTCTTGTCATAATGATCATTAAGATAATCTCCATGATGAGTGTCGCCTTCAGATGTGATCACTGTTTCAATGTGAAGGTCGTGTGTGGAGCGCAGACGACAACTTTCTGCACGTATATAAGGGGCTATTAGCAGTTTGTCCGCATCAGGTATCACAATGGATGACGAAGACATCGGATATTGATAAACCCAAACCTAGGATGATTGCACTATTTATTTGTGATTAATGGGTTTTGACTTGACACGCGGTTCTGTTAAAGTAGCAGACGCATGCAGGTGGCATGTTCTGCAAAGCTAATGGCGTACTGAAATAAATCTCAGTAAGTGTCATCTTGTTACTCGCGTTTTCAGCATTATGTGATTAATTCATCGGTTTTTGCAGCGATCGTAATGACGGGCTTGAATTTATGAAACAAACTCACGAACTGTGTCAGTTTTTACAAAACATCAACAGCACCATAAATGATTCACCTTCCGCAATGATAGAGATGCACACCAACAAACAAACCTACCCCAGTTCTACTAATGTGCAATTCCTATTAACCCACAAAAGGACAAAATGTGTCCTCATCCCTATCTCTTCTTTGGCTATCCCACACAAAACTACCACTACATAACTTTCGTCATCAGTTTCGGTGGCCCTTTAGTACCGTCTTATTCGCTTTGTCATTAATTGTATCTAGCTTAAAGTTGAGCAAACGTTTGCCCTCTTATCACAAATTAAATAAACTATATGGACACTAGTTACCCCAGGCTGAAACACACTCCAAACATGTCACGAAATATTTCACACAATGTACTTAAATTAGCTTTTTCCACCCATGTATGGCCTCGACTTGCTGCATCTGGTTTGATGACTGTCTGGTCAGATTGGTTTAACTCTAACCAGTTGACCACGGTCCAGTATAAAGCTGCTTTGTTCTAAATGAATGGACACTAGTCTCTTGAGATGTTCACACAATCACCTCTAGACGGACATCATCGTTGAGAAAATATTGGTGCAGCAATTTAGTCTGGGTCCTCTCGGGTCCCTTGTTTGATCTGTGAAGAGGGTTATGAAGCAAAAGTACACGTTGTCGACTGTGATAAATTGGATATTGATGTTGTATGATGGAAGAGAGCGGGACATCCAATATGAACACCGTGTCCAATGAGATAATCAAATAATGTATTCCTCAAAAATTCTTCTGTGATGCCACAATTCCCACTTTCACGTATATGGTATTCCCAGACGCAATTCATTACTGATATACAGAATAGAAACTGTTCTAGGTAGTCATGGGAGTAAAGTTTCATACTTTCGTGTTTGCGGTTTCCATTTAGAGCATCCCCAGACTTTGATTTGTAATCAGTAGTTTTATATGTTGCTGTCTACTCTACGCACTATGGTCTCATCAAAACATACACGGTTATTGGTAGTTCCTTCTCAAATGCGATCTATAGAAGGAAGGCAAAGATTAATTTATACGTATTGATATCGTTTTTCTAGAGTTGCCATACAGTAGATCGATGGAAGAGATGCTTATTACATATATCCCAATGCTGGTATTGACAATCTCCACCATAAATCGTCATACACATTACACAGGGGTATTAAGGAATACAAAAATGTTACTTCGAGAATATAAGTGAAAGTAAGGTAACATCCAATGACTTAAGTTTGATTACAATTGCATGTTTTAGCTAAATATGACATTTGTATGGTAAATTGAAGAGGTCAACACCAGAGAATAATCTACGAGACGGATTCCATTGGGTCAAATGGCAAGTTGACCACATTAATATGATCTTCAGAGTCATCATAACCTTAATGCCTTTAGCAAAGAATATTTGTCAATCACAAAACGTGAATCCATAAATGAGCTTAACACACATACACGTGTACACGTGCAACCGCAGTATACAGTAACCCCTCGTATCAGTTGCTTTTGATTTCAATTGAGTTTTGAATCATTACCAAATATACAATATATCCCGATACCCGATGCATTCACTATTATTCTTCCTCTGTACCATGCCATCTACAAAGTATAATATATCATAAGATTCTATCATTACGAAATAGGACAAGCAAACTTTGATTGATAAAGGTATTAAATGATATGCCATTTGTATCAATATATAAAAAATTCAATTAGGTCACGCAACCAATATACGCGAAACCCCAACCTAATTTGTAGCCATCTCACATTGTTTAATTATCTGATTCGGGACAAGTTATATGCTATTTTCCACATGGAATACTCAATAAATCAGACCGTAATCGAATAATAAAGTGAGCAGAGTATGGTTGTCCTCCAATTACTAGTCAGTTGCCTCGGTAAGTGTAACTCTATATAGCCTGGCTCACTCGCCAGTCTCTCGCTCACTCCAGTAATTGTTTTGACAGGGAAATGCTTCAGAAATGTAAAATAAAGAGCTCACAGGGTTTGAGGGCACATAGCTGTCATTTCGCTTGGAATTGCGTTAAATTGTCTGTGACAAAACAGCCTCACAGAAGATCATCTACAGCCATGTTGCATCTCTGTCTGAAGGCACGGGATGGTACGCCAAGCTTTTCTCTATAATGGTTTATTGAACCGCCTGTCTTCCTTGGCAAAACACCTTGACGTCCCTCTACGAGAGCTACAACTGCTGGAGTCATTTACAAAATGTTGTATTGTCGTTCACTTTCGATCTTTGCATAGTTATGCCATGAGTGTCAAGAAATAAGTGTCCATTCAATGTTGGCCTTTGCATCTGTGCTCAATAATCGATGTTTGTGAAGCAAAGCACTGTATGGTCTTCACTATACACGGACTATTTCTGAATCGCGACAGACATTACGCAACCCCAATCATTAAAACAGTTTAACACTGGCCCCATTTCTAGTCTTCAAGCTTCGGGTATATCAAAGTAGGATATTTATGATACAATGAAATTCAAGTTTACCATACGAATAGCGAGTTATGGAATGTCGAATGTCTAAACGTATCCTTGCTTTCAATAGGTCTCGAATAAATAATCTACGAATTACTTGTAAATGTCATTCATGTGGTCTTCGTTACATCCAGAGTAAATATAGCGCGTATAATGTTCATCAATTTGGAATTCTGTAAAACCAGATCAAATAAACCACCAATGTCTTCTTAATGTCATAGATGTTGACTTCAGTGTGACCAGAGAAAACAAACCGCAAGTTACTTTTAGTCGTTAAAAACAAGCAACGTAAACATTTTTACTTTGACATGAATCTGTGGCGAAGATGAATTGCAGTTGTCAGTAACGTGACTTTAAGAGGCAGGTCTACTGACGGCATAAAATGGAACCTAATTTCAAGGTTTATGTGCATTGTGTTACATACTTGCGCTACATTAAACAAATAAAAACAAATTGCGCCAATTTTCTGCATCGTTGCACATCTTTTGGAAACACCAATTGACGAGAAAACCATACAACATAGATGCTATCTGTAACAGGGAATATCTTAAACAGGCATATGCCATTATTTTTCTATTACACATTGCCATATACTTGCGCTAGGTTTCATGTCAGTGACGCCAAACAACCTTACAGCAATATAACAATATTATTATCTCCACATAATCCGCCTCATGGAGCCGAAATAGGGTGTGCTATTTATGTGCTTTTGTCTTCCTTGCACCAAACAGCTGATTCTTGT